GAAATGTGTATTAACCGTGAGGAGCAAACTACGTTAATTAAGAAGTACATCAATTATTAAAATATATAATTTAAAGAGACCCTCAGTTTGGTCTCTTTTCTTTTATGGTCAAGCATCATCTCAAAATTATATATTTTTTCTCTCCTTAAACCTGAGGAATTTAATAAAGGACATTTTTCTCTGCTGGTGCAGTAGCTCAGCCTCTCCAAAACAGCCGTGATTTCTTCTCTACCTACGATGTGGCATCGCAGCGCCCAGGGCCAAACGCTTGAAGCTCTTGTGCTGTTTAGTGGCTGCCAAAAGACTGACTTCTGGCAAGATGAGTCTTGAAAGGCCCTGGGGAAAGAGGAAACCTTCTCAGATGCTGGCCAGGTGCCGTCCCTCCTTGGTTCTTCCCTAGCTGCTAGCTTCAAAAAGCACATCATCCCTTAGTTAAGAAAATGCAAGAAATAAGCTATAAACACAAAGCTAAAAGCTATAAACCACCTTTTCTTTAAACAAACAAACAAACAGAAGGACCAAAAAAAAATAATGGATTCAGCAAGTTCTCCTTAGAAATATTGCTATAGAAATATTGATTTTTTTACTCAACTCAATTGACTGAAAAGTTGTTTGTATAGCAATATTGGCCCAGGCAATCCACTGGAACAATTTTGCTGCACAGAGTAATCAAGTGCATTTCTGAAGTATAATTATATTGTCATAAAAACGAAACCAAGATAACCTTCTCTTCAAGCAATAAACCTACAACGGCAGTAAAACCGTAAGAGAGACACAGAACTCCATGATAGGGTGTCTTCTGAAGAGCCCAGTCCCCTCCCCACACTTGCTGCTCTTCCCTTAAGCTATGGTTAGCACGAAAGTGATCAATATCTCAATCTCCATAAACTATTTCAATAATAGTTAGTTCACCTGGAAACAGAAACTGAATGTTTCTGCTCAGCGACCTGAGACTGCCTCCTTGTTGGTTGAATGCGGGTAATATTTCATTGCCATAATGGATACGACTCAGCGCAGGGTTTTAGCAGGAGGCGGACAAACACACATTCTTCAGTTACAAATCAATATACACTACACACCTTTCAAAAAAAAAAAAGGGGGGGGCAGGATGTGGGATGCTGGCGGTCAAAAAATACAAAAGGTGTCACCAGGAGCAGTTATAATTAATTTATTTGACAAAACAATCATCAATTCTCTCCAGCGAAGGACCCACAGCCGCAGCGGCTGCTAACCAAAACCAACTCAAGCTGCCTGTAAGCAGAGATTCAGTTCGGCTTTGCCTGCAACGGGGATGGTGCCAGGGACGTAGCAAGAGGGCAATTATTTCCAATTATTTGCATGGCACGTGCGGTGAGGGGGACAATGAAAGGAGCCTGTCGACGCATCCCAAAAGCTGGCCATGACTTCTGACCAGTTAGCCAAGGCTACCCCTAAAAGCCAGAACCGTTTTGCTTTCTCGGCCCAGAAAGGCCCACCAAATTTACTGGCATTTTGGCAAAGCTCCTGGCACCCCAGACAGCCACACCAACCCATATGCCTGATCTAAGGGGGGCAAATTTGTATGCGCTTGAGGTTGCCATGCCAGTGGAGGCTACAAAAACTAGATAATTTCATGAAAAATGTGATGGCCAACGTAAGTCAATAAAAGTGTTTTTTTTTCTCAAATTATAAAAGAAAAGAAAATGACCAAGGGTGCTTTTTCAAAAGAGAACTGGACTTCCTTTGTTTTTGATGCTTCTCATCCAAGAAGTTTCTTCAGTTCAGTTTTTCCTCAAGGAAAAACAAAGGATGTCCAGTTGTCTTTTGAAAAAAGCACCTTTGGGACCACCATGGTCTCGATGACGGAGGACAAAAAGAAAACGACACAACCTCAGAAAGTGTTTTGTGTGCTGAAGCCATCTGTCTCTGGATGAAATCTTGATCACCATTCCCCCCGAGGTCCTTTTTTTAGGGAATTTTACTTTACTTGAGGAATATGTCCATTATCCTACTGTAGCCTTCTAAGAGGGAATGCTGGTGGATTCAGAGTGTTGCAAGAGTAAAGGCTTTCCCATCAAGACAACCGTCTCTTTGTTACTGTAAATCTCAATTTGAGGGATCCTTGGTGCTCTCTAAGCTTGGTGGGTTTCTTGCAGATGTTTCATTACCCAAACTAGTAACATCACCACTGCTAATCATAAAATCTTAATATGTTAAAATTAATAGAGGTTGGCGCAGTGTTTAGAATGCAGTACTGTAGGCTAATTCTGCTGACTGCCAGCAGTTCGGCAGTTCGATCCTGACTGGCTCAAGGTTGACTCAGCCTTCCATCCTTCCGAGGTCAGTAAAATGAAGACCCAGATGTTGGGGGCAATATGCTATTTAGTATACTGTCTTTGGTGTAAGCCGCCCAGAGTCCTTGGAGAGTGGGCGGCATAGAAATATGAATGAATGAATGAATGAATGAATGAATGATAAATAAATAAATAAATAAATAAATAAATAAATAAATAAATAAATATGCTGACTGTGTAAACCACTTACAGAGGGCTGTAAAACACTGTGAAGCGGTATATAAGTCTAAGTGCTATTGCTATTTATGTAGAGCAGTGATTTGGGAAATTGGCTAAGAGAGTTTGTGGCACAACATGAAGGATGTGCCTGTATCTTTGAGTCGGAACAAGTATATATAACAAAGTTGGGAGAGGCAGAAGCAGAATAAGGCCATCAATGCAGCTGTAAACATAAGAAATACATTAACTCTCAAGACCAGTGGGGTTCAGTTCTTATTTTCAAACTCTATGAATAGCCACAGAATAATTTCCCTGTCCTGAAAGGATCTGTGACATACCCCAAATTCCTCTCTTTCTCCCACCTGCCAATCAGGACTTCCATTGCAATGGGTGAAGTCAAGAACAAAAGGGCAAATGCATTTGGAGGGAGTAGACCTAGTTCAATTGAAAAGCTGGAAATCCAGATCCTAAAAACACAGACTTCAGAGGATAATTAGAACTGCAGAAAAAACAATTACTACCAAACCTGCCGTCCATTGAGGACCTGTATACTGCACGAGTCAAAAAGAGGGCTGTGAAAATATTTACATACCCCTCGCATCCTGGACATAAATTGTTTCAACTCCTACCCTCAAAACGATGCTATAGAGCACTGCACACCAGAACAACTAGACACAAGGACAGTTTTTCCCCGAACGCTATGACTCTGCTAAACAAATAATTCCCTCAACACTGTCAAACTAGTTACTAAATCTGCACTACTATTAATCTTCTCATCTTCTCATTGTTCCCATCTCCTCCCACTTATGACTGTATGACTGTAACCTTGTTGCTAGTATCCTTAAGATTTATATTGACTGTTTCCCTATGACTATCATTAAGTGTTGTACTTTATGATTCTTGACAAATGTACTTTTTCTTTTATGTACACCGAGAGTGTATGCATCAAGACAAATTCCTTGTATGTCCAATCATACTTGGCCAATAAAGAATTCTATCCTATCCTATCCTATCCAATCTTATCCTGTCCTGTCCTGTCCTATTCTAACTGACTAACCAGAGAAATGTCCTGTTGGAATGAGACAGCTCCCGGAAAGAACAATAGTGTGTAGTTACATGAAGTTTATCAACTGCTTTTAGCATCTAATTGGAAGAAAGGTAGCATCTTACATTCCATTGCCACAGCTGAATCAGATAATCCATAACAACTTCATTATGAACAAACTTCCTGGGATATTAATTTACTTGCATAAATGGCAGGATTCTCAAAAGGCTCTCGCAATTCCCATAATGGTAAAGGAAGCTCATGCAGATCCACCACAATTAGTCTTTGTCATCCAATTCCAAGGAAGCTGTCAATACAGCGAAACGTTGCCTGGCTTTGCTAATGGCCTGGGCGAAGGTGAACAAGCTGAAATTAAATCTGGACAAGACAAAGGGGCTGTTTCTTGGTCAATGGGAAATCGGGATCGGCTATCGGGAATGAAGCAGCTCCTAACGTTTGCCGCTTGTGAACATCCTTGGATCCTGCCCTGTTCACAGGGCCGTTGTGGCAGGCAGCATATTTGCACATTATGATTCATATATCACCTATTGACTCCTCATGAGTCAATCAGGCTAACTAGGGTTGCCTGCCTATGCTTTTGTCATATCTTATTAGACTACTCCAATGTGCTTCATCTGGGGCTGCTCTTGAAGAACATCTGGAAACTTAAAAGGAGGATGTCTGCCAAGCTTGTGTAACATCCACAAAACAGAAATGGCTTAGAGTTAATAAGTATCAAACCTATGTGGCTGAAATGAATCCCGGCTATCCACCGCATGAGAAGACAGGGTGGGGTGCAAATAATGTAATGTTGGACTAAACCAATTATTCATCTATCTCAACAGTTCATCTCCCAATAAAAACAAAGAGAATAGCTACAATTATGCTATCATGTTAGCATGGACTCTTCAGCACAAATTGTGGCGTATCAAAACAGTGTTGTCTTGTTCTGGTATCAGACACAGAATTATTCTTCAGAATCTTTGCTAATAGCCATTACAATTATTTCTGGCAACGTTGCCACAGATGGATTGCGCCTTACATGCCTATTATCATATTTTCCATACAGTATTGTCATTTAGAAAGTATTTTTACTTTCTGAAAATATTGATCATCACAATCTTTGCTGGTTGTGAGAGCCTGTTATAAATGTTAGTCTAAATGTATACAAAACATCCTAGAAAAAGTTTATCAATGTGGAAACAGCATTTTTAGTCCACAATGGCAATTTTTTTTGATCCTGCACTAAGATTTATCTAAGGTTCCGATACTGTCGACCAAAAGCTACTTTACTAGACATAATTTAGTCATGAAGGCAGCTCCAGCAAACGTTAAAGATCATCAGCATCTCATAGGGGGAGGACAGCCACCTTGTGACATAATTTTGGGGAGAGGAAAATGCGTCTTCCTTTCCTGTTCCCCAAAGTTGGCGTGAAGGGGGAAAGGGGGAAAGGGACACTCACTTGTAAACGGTTCCTCCATTGCCGTGCCCAAGGATGTCTCGATACCGTATGTCTTGTTCATTCATCTCCACCAGGAAGAAAGAAAAACAAAAGAGATGTCAGGCTGGGGGTGCAAGTGTCAAGGAGAAGCCACTCTCGGCCATAAACAACCCGCCGTCTGGGTCATTTCAAGTTCAGCTGCAAGAACGAGGAGATCAATACAACATTTGCTGTCCAATTTATAAAAGACAATACCAGGGGACAAAGTGATGGAAAGTTTAATGACAATTTGTTTGCCTGGGTCATTTCATTAAAGTTTGATAAAAGGTGTCAAAATGGAATGATAACATAGCTCAAGAGGAGCAGGGCACCGACCTGGAGGGGAGCGGAAGGCTCTGGAGCTCAAAGCATCACTACAGGGCCTGGGTCAGGAGGGGACTGGATAGTCCCTCAGCCAATACTCTGACCTGGAAGCAGCCACAGACGAGTTCCTGAAACCTGACAGGTTTTGCTCTAACAGGGGTGTCAAACTCAAGGCCCGCGGGCTGGATCCAACTCACGGGGTGCTTAGATCTGGCCCGCGAGGCCGCCCTGGAAACAACGAAGGACCGGCCCGTAGTGCCTCTGCCAGCGAAAACGGAGCTCAGGAGCGCTTGGGCCACCATAGGCACCCCAACACGGGTGACGTCAAGCTGGCCACGCCAACCCTGGCCACACAACCCGCCCCCAAGTGAAACACAACCCTGATGCAGCCCTCAATGAAATCAAGTTTGACACCCCTGCTCTAAAGCTAAAGAAGAGCCACAAGAACACGCTGCTCAAATGGCCAGGAAGGATGGATGGCTCACCTGGCTCAAGACACCTCACCGAAGTGGCACACACCACTCACTTTGCAGTTAAGCACTCAATTCTCAGTTCACATGCACTCTTGTTGTGCAGCCATCTTCCCTTCCCACACGCAAAGTCCAGCAGATAAGCCACCAGCCCAGTTACACTGGTACAACAACCCGAAGGTCAGAATTAGCACCTTGAATTATGTTCAGAAGGTAACAAGGGGTCAATTCGGCAATCAGCTCTCGGTAAATATAAAGGAATAAAGCCACCTCATGAAAAACCAAACCCTCTGCCATGAATTTTCCTGAGTAAAAAAAAGCTTTTGTAGAAATATGATGTGAGAAACAAATCATGTGCCAGAACAACAATGATGAAAATAATCTACTGGAAGGCTATAAAAAGGCTCATTTTAAAATGCCTTTTGCTGTACTTCAATGCAATGATTATATAGCCAAGGAAATATTTTTTTCCAGGTCTAAAACTTGGGCAATCTGTGATTGTTAGAAGTGCAATGCCACAAAAATGGCCATTTATTTTGCCTATTAAGTTTGTTGCAGTAAACTTACTGTTTAGAAATAAATCGACAGACAATAGACACTCGTGAATCAAAACAAATGTTCGTACAATGGGGGTTGTTTTCTAAATGATTTTTCCCCTTTCAGGAAAACAGGCCAAGAAGTAAAGACCAACCTGTACACTATTACCACAAACACATTTTACAAAATACTCTGCTTTTAGAAGGCAGGCCAAGAAAGGACCCAGGAACACCTTCCCTAATGTGATGCCTTCCAGAAGTCTCAGGACTGCCACTCGCTGAAATGCCAACCAGTAGTTTGAACATAGGAAGCTGTTTTTCCAGAGATTTTCCAAGGATCTTTCTGCTCCCCAGGTCAGAAGAATGGCGCACAATGTTCCAGATTAAAAGAAGTGAGGGATACCATCCGTAAGTATTTTTCCTCAAGAAGCAAGGAACTCCATATAGGCAAAAAAAAATACTAGTTTTTATTGTCAGGAGTGGCTCTTGGGGGGGAAAAAGAAGGTCACAAAAGAAAAGGTAGAAGCAAATGAAATGTAAAGTAGATGAAGAGTGAAAACAGAATGAATGCAGGAAAAGAAATCCTAAATAATAACATCTTAGAAGACTGATTAATCTCCCAACAGAATAAATGGGCATCAAGGAAGGATGTTAAAACAGTTTGGAAAGAATTGTGTTATAAAGGGTTGCAGAAGAGTATGAGTATGCCAAAAGGAAAAATTGACTGATTTTAATCTCTTAATTCTTAATGCTGAAGTTTTTCATTTTTTAATGTTGTGACTGTTTTATATTGTTTTTATATTGTTGTAAGCTGCCCAATCACTTGACAGTGAGATGGAATGAATTAATTAATTAATTAATTAATTAATTAATTAATTAATTAATTAATAGCAAGAGCACTCAGACTTATATACCTCTCCATAGTGCTTTACAAAACTCTCTGAGCAGTTTGGAGTCAGCATATGAGGACCCCAACAATCTGGGTCCTCATTTTACCCACCTCGGAAGGATGGAAGGCTGAGTCAACCTTCAGCCAGCCAGGATTGAACTCCTGGCAGTGGGTCAGCCTGCGATGCTGCATTCCAACTACTGTGCCATCATGCATATTCATAATAAAATAATGAATATGAAAAAGGATTGGAGAAAGGTGGAGAAAAGGGAGAGGGGATACGAGCGCCCTTGTAAAAACTGATATGGGCAGAACTCCATTGCAACATGGATTTCCAGATCTCCTCTGCAAAAGAGAAACAGTCAGGCATCACACACACCCACACACACACACACACACACACTTTGATTTATATATTTCTGGATATATTTCTAAAGTGTGGCAGTGGTGACAGTAGGTGTGTTTGGCTGGGGGCACAAAGGTTTGTATATTTTTTATGGTGATGATGCTGGGTTGTTAGCTAAGAACCAAAAGATTATTTGCAGCAAATGTTAGACTGTATCATGGAACAAGAAGTATGAATTTGAAAATCAACAATATCAAAGACTAAGTTAGTGATTTCTGAGACGGAAAGAACAGAACGAATGCAAGTTGCAAACCATGGAAAACTTTAAAAATTGTACATGAATTGGTTTGGCAGTATAGAGCACTTATTAATAAGGGGGAAATGGATGGAGAAAGCTTTGGTTTATGCAAATGTTAATGGAAAAGTAGTAGATTATATAGTTAGTGGTGAGGAAGGGAACATCAAAAGAAGCAAAAATGAGACTTTTATTTCTGCTGGCTTTGTGATGCGTAAAGCGAGATGCAGCAGAGAATGAACAAAGATAAATCCGTATGGACTGCGTAGGAGAGCAAGCAGCCCTTAAGAGAAGCTGATTGGTAAGATCTGATCGTGTAGCACAGTCTTCCTCAACCATTGCAACTTTAAGATATGAGCTTCAACTCCCAAAATTCCCCAGCCTACACAGTTGGTTGGGGAATTCTGGGAGTTGAAGCAACGTGTCTTAAAGTGGCAAGCCCTGGTACAGAAAAGAACAAATAAAAATCAAACTACAAAACAAATGAACAAAGACAGAATGGAATGAGAGGATGGATAAAAGTGAGAAAGTTGTGATTGAATGGAGTTAATGTGTTCCTCAAAAAGAAGTGTGAAAAATTTAAAGAAGAAAAAGCAGAATGTGCACAGGATGGAAGGAAGCATGCTTCAAGGAAATAATAATATGGAAAGATCGAGTGACTTCCTTCCTTCCTTCCTTCCTTCCGTCCTTCCTTCCTTCTTTCCTTCTCCTTTAATTTCTTAGGCTTCCCATTCCTGATACCTTTTCTGCAATCTACATAATGTTGTCCACTCTCACTGGGACAGCCGTGAGGGATGAGATGAGTGGGAGCATTTAGTTACGCAGAAGCACGTGAAGAGAAAGTTCAAAAGGGCACTGAGGATGGAACACATTTGCAGTATCAAAGCAAACCTGTTGAGGACATTTCTAAAGCTTGAATTATCTGAGAGTTATTACAGAAAGGACAAATAAAGATTTCAAAAGTGCAGCCCTGTTGGCTATTTTGCAAAATTATTTCCACATCAACCTATTTTTTTTTTACCTTAATCTCTTTTGGATCAAGTGGTGGGTAGTAAATGGCTCACTTATTTACCACTTCTTTAACCACTCTAGGAGTTACAGCAAATGTCCTTCAAAGCTTGGCTCTCCATTCTTAGTGATGGAACCCAAAGACCCAAGAACCAACACACCAGAAAGATGTTTGATTACATTTTCAAAAGAATGACTGGAACCAAGTGGGAGACCCTATACCAGTGATTCTCAACCTTGGAAGCTTGAAGATGGGTGGACTTCAACTCCCAGAATCCCCCAGCCAGCGCAGCTGGCTGGGGGATTCTGGGAGTTGAAGTCTACCCATCTTCAGGCTACCAAGTTGAGAAACACTGCCCTATACCATATCAGACAAATGGCATACCAAACTCTTCTTTGAAACCTCCAGTGATGGAGCATCCACTTCTGGAGGCAGGCAATTCCACTGATTGTTGTTCTCGCTGTCAGGAAATTTTTTCATAATTCTAGGTTGGATCGCTCTTTAATATTTCACCAGGTACTTCTTGCCCTGCTCTCACATGCTTTCGAGACTAGATCGACCCCCTCTTTCCCTTCAAATATTGAAAGACTATCATATCACCCCTAGTCCTTCTCTTTTATTTATTTATTTATTTATTATTCATATTTCTATGCCTCCCACTCTCCAAGGACTCTGGGCGGCTTACACAGTATACTAAATAGCATATTGCCCCCTAACAATCTGGGTCCTCATTTTACCCACCTCGGAAGGATGGAAGGCTGAGTCAACCTTGAGCCGGTGAGATTTGATCCGCTGATCTGCTGAACTAGCAGTCAGCTGAAGTAGCTGCAGTACTGCACTCTAACCACTGCGCCACCTTGTTAGACTAGGGCCTCTAGGAGTCTCTGGAGGCTGGGGACAGCAAAAAAGTCACTTCCTGTCTAATTGGAAGTTGGGAAACGGGCCGTTTCTGGCCTCCGGGGAGGTGGGGAAGTCCGTTTTTGCCCTCCCCAGAATCTCTGGGAAGGCTCTGGAGCCAGGCGAGAGAGAAAAACGGACCTACCGGGCCATCGTGTGCCGGAAGTGGGGGCGGGGGGTTGCACATGAATGCACGGGGGTGGAGCGCATAGAATTATGGGTGTGGGCCTGGTTGCGCGCAACCCCCCCGCCTCTCCTCCTGGCACGCGATGGCAAAAAGGTTAGCCATCACTGGACTAGGCATATCCAGTTCCCACCACCATTCATCGTATGTTTTATCCTCTGGTGCCCTAATCATCTTTGTTGCTCTTCTCTACACTGTTTCTCGAATCTCAGCATCTTTTCTGTATGTTAGCAGGTGTGTCCAATGCCCAAGGAAGAAAGTTCTGGAGCTTTCTTGGAAGCTCTAGCAGGGGAGCATAGCTATTATATAATCTTGACCAAAATCAATCTGCTCCTATGGGGGATGGCCCTCCTCTTCCACCAGGCGTGCAGCTTTGGGAAGGACACAAATGGATTGGTGAGGGAAGAAGGGGACACTTGCCTAGTCAACGAGATTGGCTGAATCAACCCTGGGGACCCAAAAGAAAATTCTCAGTGGGCTTGACAGGAACAATAAATGTGTGTTCTGCCTCCTGTATAAATGCCTGAAATCTGCTGTTTCTCAGGATTTCTATTATCCTCTCCACTTGCCGGAGAGGAAACAGAGGCAGCGGAATGAGAATTCCTAGATTATCCTACTCCAGATATACCCCTGCTCAATTCTGGGATGTGCCAGTTCAGCTCAAATGTAACACACATTCAAGCTGACCACGGCTTGGTTTGACTGTCATCAGAAGCAGAAAGCTCCCAAAGCATTGGAGCTCTGTATTTTTAAAATCTGAAATTGTGAACTTGAGAATAAAGCTGCTTTCTCTTTTCTTAATTGTTTAGAGCCATTTTGGGAGATTATAATTGCCTGAAAGGCAGGATAAAGTCACACTAAATAAATAAATAAAAAACCCTTCATAAACCCGGTGAGAAATGTCAAGGATCCCTAGCAATTTATTTATTGTGTTTGAGAATCTGAAGGCATCAATCAAATCCTAACAACTACCAACTTTGCAACAAGCACCAGTGCATTATTTTTTTCTTATGCAATCTTTGATCGGCCACTGAGAGTAAAGGAATGAATCGAAAGTGAAATAGTATCCAATTATGGATCAGCAAATAAAATAGTCTTTGTTTATATCTGCTGTCTTGGAAAGAATCAGCATGCATCTCTTATAAATCATTAGAAAAAAATGCTCAATTAATCCTTATTTGATATATACAGCTACGGCAGGCGCCTCGCCCTGTATGGGCTCCCTCCCCTGAACCAATCAAAGTCCTAATGGCTTCAGAAAGCAGACACAGTCTATGAACAGACAATTGGAGAGATTTAGTAAATCCCACTTCATAGAGCAGGGACTAATCGGAAAACATGAGCCAGTCAAATGTTTCTTATGAACTGTTGACACTACGTCAATGCTCAATCAATTGGCGGCATTTTCTCTGAGTGGCAGAAAAGAAATAAATATTTATATCACATAACCTATATCAATGAACCTCGGCAGAAAGCTATTTCTAACCTGTCAATATTTGATTATCTTGAAGAATCATGTCCCCTTTCTGTTAATGATTAATATGAATTTCTTATTAAACCTAAATGGAGGCTTTCGGGCAACTAAAGTCTTTATTAATGCTTTAAAAGAGAAGGCAGGAAAGGCAGGGTTTCTCCACCGGGGCGATTTTCAGATGAGTGGACTTCAATTCCCAGCTATGCTGGCTGGGGAATTCTGGGAGTTGAAGTCCACCCATCTGAAAAATCACCAAGATGGAGAAACTCTGCTCTCACAATTTAACCCTCTCCTCCACTGGTCCTCCTATGTTAGGCAGGTTCTCACCAACATCAATGGGGCAGGATAGGACCAGCCTGGATCAGGCCCAGATGTGCCCACCCTTAATAATTCAAAGCTGTGTTCGTTCCTGGTACAAGGCACAGGCTCCAGTCCTCTCAATAGGAAAGGCCAAGGTGTTGATGCTAGCGCCTCTTTGCCGCCTTCTGCAGGTGGAATCCTTCCAACCTGAGCTCTGCTCCTGGCGGCTTCTTGGACACGAGAACCACGCGGTTCTCTTCCAGCGCTTGCTCCTTCTGCCAGGCTGCCTGCCGTCCCATCTAGGCTCCACCCAGAGATCTTTAGGGCTCACCATTCTCCCAAATGCCTCAAAAATGCACTCTGGAATGCCTTCAGAGCTGCTGCAGGTAGTCCTCGACTTACAACAGTTCATTTAGTGACCGTACAAAGTTACAACGGCACTGAAAAAAAATGACTCATGACCATTTTTCACACTGAGGACCGTTGTAGCATCCCCATGGTCACGTGACCAAAATTCAGACACTCGGCAAGTGGTTCCTATTTATGATGGTCACAGTGTCCTGGGGGCACGTGATCTCCTTTTGCGACCTTCTGACAAGCAAGTCAATGGGGAAGCCAGATTCACTTAACAACTGTGTTACTCACTTAACAGCTGCAGCGATTTACTTAACAATTCTGGCAAGAAAGGTCGTAAAATGAGGCAAAATTCACTTAACCAATGTCTCACTTAACAACAAAAAAGTTGGGCTCAATTGTGGTCGTAAGTCGAGGACTGCCTGTACTTAATGCATTTTTTGAATGAAAAAGCCAGCTCTCTGTTCATTTTTTTAATGCCAAGCATTCAGCAACATTAAAGGAATGTGACTTGAAGTCCGGCACAATTTGAAAACGAAATCAATCTTCCAATTTAAGTAAACCTCCCTATTTTCTTCAGTGCAATTCAGTCATAACAGGCATCTCAAATCTTCCTCAAGAAATCATTTTCCTTCCCAATTAAAAACCTCCTTACCTCACTCAAGGATACTGAAAACCCGTTACTTTGCAAGATGAGGCTTTCAAGAAATGTCTAATAATATTTCATTCCCTCCTCTACCCTTGAAATATCACCTTTATTACAGGCAAGCAGCTGCTGAAGATTAAATAAAATGCAGGGAACAAAAAAAAAAAGCAGCAGCACAAAAGGGTTTAAAAATATTCCGTGTCTATCTTCAGGTAAGACTATGCTTAAAAAAGAAGAGCCAAAATCCATATTCCGAAGTTTTATTTAAAGCCTTCTGGCTGCAAATAAAACAGCCTGCGGTGGAGCAAGGCTGGCAGGACCGTCCTCCTCCATTAAGAGAGCAGCCTTACAGGTGATCCGCTGAAGGACACGCGTGAAGATCTGCTTTTGTCTTCTTGACACGCTCAACTACCACTACTTGATTCATGAAATGCCACGGAGGCTCGGGGAGGTCACTGTGTGAAGGCATTGAATACGCATCTGAGATAATTAAGATTTCAGCCTTCGAAACACGGAAGGGAAGTGAACAGCAGTTAAGAAAATCAATAAGAGTCTTTTATTTGCGGTGACACAGATGTCTCAGTCAATAGTGTCTAATAGGCAGGCTTGAACGGCGTGGACAGGGGCTGCCTCCAAGGCTATCAAAGGGTTTCACCATGACAAACATTAAAACTTATTTATGTGGCTGGCGAAGAATCCCGCAGCCTTGAGGTATTTTCATTTCGCAGTGTATATTTAAAGCCATTAATGCGACGTTGGGACTTCCTGTTCGAATCCGAGTGGCCGGGAAGGGCTGGCTCGGCCTCTCCTCTCACCCATCGCATTCCCCTGCAGGAGTCGGAGCAGGCTGGGGCATTTCTTATGGTTTTTTCCCCCCTTCTACAGAGCTTCAGGGGACACGCACCCTTTGCTACTGGCTCTTGGGTGGCAGGGCCGTCCGAGCCCATCTGCAAACAGCCAGCAAAGCAGAAACCCTGTTTTGCTATTCAAAATTGATTACGCTTTCTCCCCTAAATTGAGGCAACCGAGTGGCGGGTGTGAAAGGCACTTCAATCTATTTGGAGCTAAATCTGATTAGTGCATTTCGAAAAAGGGGAAGTAAATTGGCGTGCCAATCCAAATCAATCGGGACAGGGGCTCCTCCACCGCACAAGCTCTTTGCCTGCCTTCGCCTCTACTTTATTAAAAGAACACATTACCAGTAAGTGAGCAGTAAACATCTCTGGGGTGATTTGAGCACACAAGGCACATCTGAATTCAGGCAGACATCCATCGTGCCTGCAGCCAGCCCCACGCCAAGGTACCTACCTGGCCATTTGCTAGTATTTTCTTCAGCTCAGCGGAGGACTTCTTCAGACTGCAGCATTGGGCAGAACAAAGGTAAAAAGGGAAAGAAGAAGAAGAAGAAAAAAAGAAAGGTCATTGCCCATCTGCACTTTACAGAGGGGGGCTACAACTTGCCCTTTGCTAAAGAGCATCTCGTTGCTAATTGGAACATCTGCCTCGGATTACAAGTGTGTAAACTACACTCTGAGGTAATTAGAATTAAGTGTGTAAAGCACACACACACATTTTCTTTCGTTTATCGCCTCCTTAAAGTGCTGATCGTGGCAAATGAATTTCCTTGGGGAAGTTAATGGTTTCCCAGGAAAACCAAAAAGAACCTGGGAAGGTTGCACAGTTCAAAGGTCCTCATGCAGAATAACAGAATTGGAAGGGCCCTTGGAGGTCTTCTAGTCCAACCGCCTGCTCAAGCGGGAGACCCTGCCTAGACCATTCCAGACAAGTAGCTCTCCAGTCTCTTCTTAAAAGCCTCCAGTGATTGGAGCACCCACAACTTCTGGAGGCAAGCAGTTCCACTGGTTAATTGTTCTCACTGTTAGGAAATTTCTCTAGTTCTAGGTTGCTTCTCTCCTTGATTAGTTTCCATCCGTTGCTTCTTGCCTTGCCTTTTGCTACTTTGAGGAATTGATTGATCCCCCCTCTTCCTTGTGGTGGCCCCTCAAATATTAGAACATTTCATCCCAGTCCTTCTTTTCGCTAGACTAGACATATGCAGTTCCTGCAACCATTCTTCACATGTTTCAGTCCCCTAATCCCATGATGGCGAACCTACGGCATGCGTGCCAGAGGTAGCACACAGAGTCCTCTCTGTGGGCACGCGTGCCATCGCCAGCTGCTCTTTGGTTTCTGGAACCTGCATTCGTGGTGGCCAGCCAGTCTGCATGCATGTTGTAGTGCTGGAAACCTGAAGACCAGCTGGCCAGTGTGCATGCACCAACCGATGCCAGCCACCTGGTCTTCGGGTTTCCGGCGCTCCGGCACGCACCAAGAACAGCTGGCCTGCGTGCATGCGCACACCAGAAACCCAAAGACCAGGTGCTGGCACACACATGCACACCAGCCAGCTGATCTTTGGGTGTTTGGTGCACCAGTGTGCACGTGCATGTGCATTCCCGTTTGGGCACTCGGTGCTGAAAAGGTTCGCCATCACTGCCCTAATCAATTTTGTTGCTCTTCTTTGCACCTCTTTCTCAACATCTTTTTTATAACATGGCGACCAAAACCGGATGCAGTATTCCAAGCGCAGTCTTACCAAGGCATTATTAAACAGTACTAAAACTCCTCTCGATCTTTGCCTTTGTAGCAAAAACCTGGGAATAGCTGCAATTTGCTATTTATTGAGAGGCTGAGCCTGGCGTATTAGTTGAACATCTTATGCTTCCGTCCAGTTTAGCTGGACTGGGAGAAAAGCTGGCTCACAGCACACTCCAGCAGGAGTTCCTCTGAATGGACCGTCCCTTAATGAAGTGTTGTTGTGCATGAACACAAGGGGGTGCTTTTGCGTACTCCCTACTAATTTTATCCAAATATGTAGAAGGAAATTTTCTGGTGTGTCCATAAAAGTTAAATACCAACAACCATTTCTTACTGCTGCCACAGAAAACTACATCTGAAAAAGAGCCCTTAAAAAGAACGATTATGTTCTTGACAGGCTGAAGTGTCTTGATCATCGATCCTGACGGAAATAAAAGAAACTTCTTTGTTCTTTAATAAGCCTCCTCTCTGCTAGAATACTTTAAAGAAAAAGTACTCTGCCAAATGAAATGTAGGCTGATCTTGTCATCTCTTGCAACTAACCGTTTTGTGAACATGAAACAGAGGCAGGCTGTCAGTGACTTCAAAACAGTCATTCCTTATGCAGATGGCTTTTGGGAATGAAAGCCAATTAATTGCCCCATTAGATGACAGCATCAACTCAAGCCATTGTTGCAGGGCATTTGCAGAATCAGCTCCAAGTGAGTGTAGCCGAGGAAATAAATGACCACAAAGCAAGGAAACGGGAAATTTGCCCTACAAACCGAATTTAAACATCAGACGTATGATAATGGCAGATAATACAATCTTTGTAGAGAAACTGTAGAGGGTTTTTTTAAAATATAAAATTCCACATTTATCCATTTCAATGCAGGCCACAATGGCACTTATCGACAACACAGGAGGTCCTCCTAGGTCATAGAGAAGGCGATCATGTGCAACTCTATGGAAACCCTTCTTAATGCCAGAGACCATTTTGGCTCTGCTTAGGGGCAAAGGTTTTCTCCTTCTTGGTAAGATATATACCAAAGAGCCACTGGCCCTCTGGTTTTCAGGGTTTCTGCTCCATTTGTTCCTTCCTGACTGGGTTCTTTTCCTGATTGCCGCTCCTTTCCCTTGGCTAAAGGCCCTGCTTTTATCTTTGCCAAATTCAGCACACACCTCATCCTTTCCTTCCGTTATGAGAGCCATCACACCCCACTTTCCAGCAAGGGACTGAGCACAAAAACCATGTTAAGAGTAAGGAGCTCAGATTTGAAGCAAAGTCTGCATTAAACAAATAACATTCCAAGGAACGTTCTTATGATCATTTAGAAAGGTCTACACAGCTCTTACAATTTTTATCCTGTGTTACTTGCAAATGCTTACCTGAGCTATCCCTAGCGCTCCCATTTTACAGACCTTAAACTGAGACAAAGGGTTGGTCCCTTATTTACATTAATATTTATATATCTCTTACCTTTGTTTTTATAAATAATGAAGACAGCAGACTATTCCTTTCTCCTCCTATTTTCTCCATAACAACAGCCCTATCAGGTGGGCTATGAGAGAGAAGTCACCCAGCCACCTTTCATACCCAAGGCAAGACTAGAACTCATTGTCTTCTGGCCAAAGTCGCCTTTCCTGCCAAAGGTGGAACCAGAACTCAAAGCCTCTCGGCTTCTAGCTTGGCACCTTCACCACTAGACCAAACTTGCTTAGATTTCCCTGCTGAATCTATAACTGGACCAACGTTTGAGAACCTTCCGTGCTGCGCCTGTCCAAACGGGTGTCTGATAGCTCAGGCTGCAACCCAGACACAAATAGTTTGGCTCAATCACACTTGGAGAAATTCTTCTTCCCCTAAAATGCAACCGCCGTACGCAGAAGAGGTGACAGAGAGAGATGCACGCTGCAGTGCATGCAAAGTTTTGCTTAGGGGATGTCAAGGAATCCATGCTGAAGTAGGTCGACTAACAGGCAAGGTTAGTGCTGGATTCACCAAGCTGCAAAAACCTTGCTGAAAACTACTCAACTAAATCCCCCCCCCCAAGTATTCCCACCTTTCCCCGTTTGCTTCTGTTAATTACTATGCAAAAATCACTTCTGGGGCTGTGCCTTAATAAAGCGCAAGCGTGCTTCCCCCCCCGCCCCCCCGACTCTTACCTATGGCTTGGAAGGGAGTCTGGGATGGCCGCACTGCTATTGTTAGCAGACCCTGCTCGCGTATTTACCTGCGGGGGGAAAAAAAGAATCTTTATCCGTAGTTTTTATTCAGAGGACGTGGTTCTAATTAACCTGTAATTTGCCATGAATTTCCTATTTCACTAGGAAGGTTAATTAGCTGGTTGCCCATGGTAGAAATCCAGCCTGTATGTAGGTTACCACATTGTGTTATTGAGGAACTGTGTTCTTTTATTCACTCTGCATTTGAAATGCTTGGTTAGGTAATGCAATCAGGAGCTGGCACACAATACGGCTTTCATTCCGTCTCTATTAAATACATCTCTTCCTTCCCTCCCCGGCCCATCACCTTTTTGCACGAATATATCAATTACCTCTCTCTCATGTCACTGAAAAGATGGAGGCATATCCTGCACACCGTACGGAATTCCTAATTCAACCCATGAACCACCGTAAGATTGCCCATAGGAGGGCTAATCGAAAGAAAGGTAACCCTAATCTTACAGCTGCTCTTAGGCAGGTAGACATCTCCATTCGTGCTGTCTTTTGTCTTTGCTTAGGGGTCGTTTGGGTGGTCCAAGAGGAGCGTTTCTGCAGATCTGCCGTATCAAAAGGGGACAGCAGGACAAGCGACTGCCCCAGCGCCTTCAAGGCTGATCTAAAAAACGGGTTCACAAAACCCAGGAAGGAAACAATGCCTCTCCAGGCGCAAGACAGACCAGCCGAGCTCACACCCAGGAAGGATCTGTCCTCTGCTGCGGTTTGTAAAAAATATATAAATATATATGCTTGTCAAGGCTGAGAAAGTACAGTTTTATCTGACATTTCAATAAATGGAACACAGCATTGCAAATCCATCTACGTTTACAGAAACAATTATTGAAATTCCTACCTTCAGGCCATGTATGTTCCTTTTCCCAGGAGGCTTGCAAGCTGAAACAGTAATTGACTAAATTGTAGAATACATCAGCACCATTTACAAATTTGTTCAAAATGAAATCTTTTCTTTTTGTAATGAGGGCGATGCAGAAATTAGTGGAGAGAAATGATCGAAAGGCATCTCCCAGGACTCTCAGCAGAGAGGGTAAAATGGGATCTCTGGACCTGTAGGAGCGTATTTTTTTTAAAACCAACAAATCGAAGCCTCAACTTATTTATATCTTAAAAGATATTAAAATGAAAGCCATAAAGAAAATCTCCTGCTCCAACTCCCAGTAACTGCAGTGTGTGTGTGTGTTTCTTTTGCCCCCTTCTTTTTACAATATTTCATCTTTGCATGTTTTCTGGTGACACTGTATGGGGGTGGGCAAGTTAACACATCCGCTGGAGGTTGGGTGTTTAATACAGGAGAGCCCATGTGCTCAGCACCCCAAAGAACAATGACCTGCATTCTGTGTTACCAGAAAGAAATCTTCTCTGGTTTTTATGTGGGAAAAGAGAAGCTGGGCATTAAAAGCAGCATTGGGGACATCAGGAATCAGACACAGTATAAATCAAGATGCTCTTTCTTCCTAGCTACGTGCACAGATCTATTGTCAGGCTCTTCTCACAGGCTTCAAGATGAAGTGGAGCCAAAGGAGAACTACATTTCCTTAACGCCCCTGGAATTCCGCTGCCCCTTTCCAACCCAATGGAGTGTTCGGGCAAATGTTAAAGCCACAAAGGCTCGGAGCGATATGTTACGGACAGTTCCCATTTTAAAACTACAGCGCCCTACAAATAGTATGTTAAAGGGCCTGTCAATTTTGATTGATTGTCTGGGAAAGGATGGATTTGATTTCCCCCCTTTCTCTCCCCCTTCTTCTGAAATACATGCATTTCACTCATGGTTATGACAGCAGGAAACAGAGCCATTTATTAGTCAAGAGGACACAGATGATAGTTATTAAACACAGCAGTAAGGACAGGCCCCGTGCAATTTAAACTACATTAAACATTGCTTGCATATCCTTAAATAAGAGATGCTGGGTTGCTAGTGTGTGGACAGAAGGAACGAAAGAGTGGGAATGAAAAATAGGAATATCATCCAATGGAAAATAAAAACTAAAAACAATAAGCTATTCCTAATTCGGGGCAAGGAGGCAGTATGATGGCTCAGCGGTTAAGACTTTGGGCTTGTTGGCTGGAAAGCCAGCGATCCAAGTTTGAGACCTGAGCTCCATGCGACGGGATAAGCCCCCGTCCTTGTCCCAGCTCCTGCCAACCTAGCAGTTTGAAAGCAGGCAAATGCGAGTAGATAAATAGGTAACACTGGGAAGGTAACAGTACTCCGTGACATCATGCTGGACCCATGACCGTGGAAATGTCTTTGGGCAACGCTGGCTGAAGACTCCTTAAAACAGAGATGAGCACGTCCCCTACAGTCAGCAACGACTAGCAGAGTAAAATTTGCATGATCTCCCCCAATTTGGGGCAAGGGTGGCAGAAATGCTGTGGCTATGTTTATTTCTTTGGGTGCATGAATAAAAGGGGACCTACGGTAGCTACAAATGTGATCGTTTATGGAACTAAGCCACAAATTGAAGATACAAGGATCCAAGCAATGCAAATTGAGCTGGCTTTTCGAAATGTAGAGTGCTAAATTAAATTAAATAAAATTTAGAGCGATCGGTTGCTTAATTTAGGATCAAATTATGTGAAGGATCAGATTTATCTATGGCAGCGTTTCTCAACCTTGGCCTCTTTAAATGAGCGGACTTCAACTCCCAGAATTTCCTTGCTTGTTGACATTCATACATCTTAAAGTGGCCAAGGCTGAGAAACATTGATCTAGGCAATTGCCCACTTACACTAACCTCTGCCTCAATAATCCCTGAAAATGTTTATTTATTTATTTACCCATTTATAAAATTTATCGGTCACCCATTTTACCATAATGTTAACTTTGGGCGACTTACAGGCATAAAAATTCGCCTACATTAAAACAGTCAATTAAAACCAAGATTAAAATCTGGGACATGTTGGGAAGTGGGGATGGAATGGGGGGAGGTGGGATCTGTTGTTACTCGATCATCCACCCAGCAATATCGCCATGATGATCTGCTGGTTGGCACACACTTGTGATCAAGATCTACCCGCAAACCTCTGGAATCCTTTTCTGTTTAGGTGTTCGTGCAAAAGCTGAAGATCTTCCTTTCTGTGCCACGTGTCCTCTAACTCACTTGCATGTGTGAAAACCCTTCCCCAATCTGTCCCTCCCATGCAGTGGATAATATGCCAATTAGAGCTTCCTTTCCCTTCTTCATTGCTCAGTGAAAGTGTAGCCTTAAAAAGAGATTATTATTACTAACTGTAATACAGGAAGTCCTCGACCGCAATTGAACCCAGAAGTTCTGTTGCTGAGCCATGGAGTTGTGAAGTTAGTTTTGCCCCATTTTGCAACCTTTCTTGCCACAGTTGATAAGTGAATCCCTGCAGTTAACTTAGTTAAGTGAACCTGGCTTCCCCGTTGACTTTATTGTCAGAAGGTTGCAAAAGGGGATCATGTCTCTCCCCAAGACACTGCAACCGTCATAAGTACACACCAGTTGCCAAGCGTCCTTATTGTGATCATCTGATCAGGAGGACACTGCAATGGTCGTAAGTGTGATTAAGCCAAACTGGCAACTTTTTGAGCAGATTGTGGGAATGCAATGGACGTAATAAGGTCTCCTGTCTTCAGCAAAGCATCTGACAAAGGGCCATATAGCATGCCGATGAGCAAACCGATTAAGTATGGCAGGACAATTGGGAAGATATGAAGCAGGCTTGAATAATCACACTTATCCACGGTTCCCCCTGCAACTGGAGATGGCATTGAGTAGAGCCCTGCAGCTGTCTCTATTCTTCAACAATTCCATGAATGGTTAGGATGAAGAGCGGGAAGGATGCTTCACATCTGTTTACAGGTATCACCAAAGTGGGCGGGACAGCCTTGGTAACTTTCAATGTTTTATATTTCAGTTTTTATGATGTTGTAAGCCACCCAGTCGCTCGACACTGAGGTGGGCTGAATATAAAGCCAGTCAATCAGTCAAACAGCTAATACCCTAGAAGGCAGAAATGAAGCTTAAAACAATCTTACTAGCTAAGAGAATGAAGAGGGGGAAAAGGATAATAAAATGAAAAGCAATAAAGATAAATGCAAACTTTGCTTAAGAAAGATAAATTGAACATCAAGATGTAGGCTGGGGATATCTGGATTAACAATAACAAAGGTGCAATGGATTTTGAAACTGCCATTGACTGCAAGGTAGGCAGAGTCAGCAGTGGGATTTCGATGGTAAAAAGGTAAACTGTAATTTGAGGCTGCATCAACGGAAGAAGAGTCCCAGTGCATGGAAAGTTGTATGTCTATGGAGATTCTCTGTCATCCAGGTCCTGGTTGTCCCAAAGGTGCTTTTTCAAAAGGCAACTGGACTTTCTTTGTTTTTCCCGGAAGACCTTTCGCTTCTCATCCGAGAGAACCCAGATAAACCTCCAAGTGGCCTCCATGACTCTCACAAGGAGGGCTAACAACCAGATGACTGCAAGGAACATAAAGCCTTCCATTCTCCACTATTCAGTTAGATCTGAAGAAGCTTCTTGGATGAGAAGCGAAATGTCTTCAAGGAAAAGCAAAGGAAGTCCAGTTGCTTTTTGAATAAGCACCTTCGGGATGGAAAGTAATAGTGTCAGATCCCATTCAGAGAAACTGGTCTGGTTCAGAGAAGGTCCAAGAGCCTGGAAGTTCAGAGACTAAGGCAACTGGCCAGAGGAAGAGAAGTGAAGAGGGGAGGTAGTGCACTTCTATCTAACGGCTCAAACTTTTTCTTTATGGTCCGGAGGGCAAGACATGAAGTAGTAGGTTCATCTTATAGGAAGGCAAATCCTAACAGACTTTTTGGAAAATCTTCCTAATAGGGAGAGCAGTATGAGGGTTCCAAAAAAAAAAGGGAAGGCAGAAGATAATCTGCACTTTACTGGGGATGTCTGGATTTCTAGAGCAGGTGTGTCAAACTCAAGGCCCGTGGGCCGAATCCTGCCTGCGGGGTGCTTAGATCCGGCCCATGGGGCTGCCCTGGAAACAGCCAAGGACCGGCCCGCAGTGCTTCTGCCAGTGTAAACTGAGCTCAGGAGAGCTGCCTGCGGCCCTCCCGAGCTCCATTTTTGCTGGCAGAGGGTTGCAGGAGGCAGTCGGAGCCCAAAACAGAATTCAGGAGCCTGTTTTCGCTGGCAAAGCAATCGGGCGTCCACAGGCACCCCGTCATAAGTGACGTCAAATTGGCCACACCCACCCTGGCCCCCCGAGGTCAAACACAAACCTGAGGCAGCCGTCAATGAAATTGAGTTTGATACCCCTGTCCTAAAGGGTTCAGAGCATTTGACTTGACCGTCTCAGTAGTCCTTCCAAATCTGTGTTTAAGAACAAGATTGGGGCACTCTGAGGAAACAGCAGCCTTGTATGTACATGTGAGCAAGGAATGTTTGTATGCAAGAGGGAAAGAGGGACGTTGACCTATTTCTGTTCTAAATGCATCCTTTTTTCAAGAGGAGAATTCCATCTTCCAACTGCTGCCCTCTTTCTAACCCTGATCAGCTTGCTAGGAAACCTGCCGGTTAATTGCCCAATTCAAAATGGAGAGCGTTATACATAATGAAAAGTCTATAATGTTTTAATTGGAAAGCTTGCAGCATGATTATTTTATGCAGGGGAATAGTTTAGTTTTGAGGTATTTCAATTGATTTATTGCATGGAAATCTACTTGCATTTAATTTCAATCATCAAAAATTATGCTTCTGAAGAAAGTATCTAAGTCCATGGAGAAAGTTACATAACATGCACACATATGTGTGGAAAAATGATATCTCCAGGGTTTACAATATTCCCATTTTTGCAATAGTGAATCGCAAAGACACCCCCTGCCCCCCCCCCCGACTACAGTTTGGAGACTATCCATGGCTTTGCCTTATCCCTTTGGGGGAGGCCTGTGCAGTCAGCCACACTGAACTTTTAAACTTCCACATGTTGTGCGGTGCAAACTATAATTTCTGTTATCCTGGTTTGCTTTGGAAAATAGCTGTAGCTAAACTCAAAGAATAGATTTCTCAACCCCAATTTAAGAATAAACTGTGGAATTATCTGTCTTTGAACCTCTAGAAAAGAGAAGACCTGATGGAACATTGGTAGGGGTTAAAAGCTGTGCAAAATTACCTCTTGGATAGATCTGCAGGGGTACGATCAGCTGTCCATTTCCCTGCTGCTCCATTACAGTTGCATAATACTGGAAAAAATAGATAAGAATGGCAAGCAAGTTTGTATATTGTGTTCAATTCCACAATTCCAGAATAGTTGTATTAGAGGCAAACCAATGAATACAGGCTTGAAAAAGTTGCTTTTAAATATTTATCTGCTGTTCGACACTCTCACCAGATCTTATCTGCAGACCTCCCTCATATGTTGGCATGCATGCAATATATCACAACTTTCCCTTCCCTTCCTCTGTACTTGTCTGCCTTCAAAAGAGTTACCAATCTGGCGACTTGGCCCCAAAATAGCAAACTCTGGACTCCAGGTAGCTCTCTTCTGGGTTGGTTGCAGCTGTCAAAGATCTCTGCTCAGCCAGGCTTTAATAGCCTACAGTTCCTCCAATCCAAACAGGTACTTTGAATCTGGCTTCCCTCTGCTCAATCCAAGGCAGGGAGATATTTGTTCCGAGTTACGCTGGACAACCAACTACCTGACTTTGGTTACAGAAGCAAATGCTTTCCACTCAGTAAAGAGCACACAAATTCGATTCAGACCATCAGTTGTAGGATAATGTGCCCTTCAGGTGAACCCTTCCATATCCCAACAGAAATGTAGAAATGCTCATCCAACTATCTTTGGCCTTTGGCCACGCTTAAAGAGTCAGCGGCAGTTCCTGCTGAAAATCTGAGCCAGGAAATACTGTCCAGTACATTGCTAAGCCAAGATCAATTTGAGATAAAGTTATGGCGGGGGTGGGGATGGGGAGACACAATTAGGTCAGGAAGACCTAAACAGGATGACTGACAAAAAGCAGAAGGAAAAAAGAATGGAAGCCAAAGTTAAATGTAGACATTGTTAGGGGATATCTGGCTCTTGAACTGCCTCTAGTTGGAACTGACTCATAAAACAGGCCAGGACACCTCTTGGAATCGACCACCTAAATCTTCCTGAGTCCCTGGTTGTCATCTTGTGGCTGGTATTGACCGTATTGGGGAAGGATTCCATGCCTTGGGAGAGGATTTTGCTGCACCCCATTAGCTCATAGCATAGCATAGCAGACTTTATTGCGGTCATAGACCAAAAAAACCAAAACATCCAAGACACACAGCTGGCACATGACCAGACTGAAGTGCAGAACTGCAACAAGATCAGTGGTGGAAACCACTCCGTCAAACTCAAAGTTCATGTATTTTAGATTTTTAGCTCCAATCTATATGGACTACAGTCGATTAAAATTGTACATAGGTAGAAAATACTATATTGCAATTTACATAAAATCCACACATCGGCACTTTATACAACTACCAGCTAACTCAACCGCTGACGATCAATAAAGCTGACCTCAGTCAATGGGTCCAGCCCGTCCCTTCCCCCGGCTCTTACATCCCAAGACTGCAGCAAAAAAATTTGCTACCTTTAGTGTAATCTTATAATCGGTATCTTGGAGTAAGAAGCGAAGACTGAGATTTTCAGATAATCCAGGAAATCTTTGGCAAATGGGAGAGATAAGTTCTGACCTTACCTCCCGATAATGGGGGCATGTATATATGATGTGAGCCAAGGATTCCGGAGATCGGCCGTCACATGAACAGTGGGTGGATTTCACCCACCCACCCCCCGAGCACTTGCTATCTAGGACATTCGAGGGGATCACATTAAAACGTGCCTTTAGAAAGGCCAACCTGTATTTAACAAAGGATAGCTTAGAGAGATATTTGGGGGGGTGCATTCGGGGAGTAATACCGAGAGAAAACGGAGAACATACGCCCGCACCAAGTGCCAGATTCTGTTGTCTTTCAATATCATCCAAGCGCTGGAATATCAGCGATCTGGCTGGCCCATTAGTTCATAGTCTCTGGGGCAACCATGAGCCTCTCCTTGGCGCTAACACATAGTGCAGATACATAATACGGACCCAATCTTCATTTTGGAGATTGAGGACACTGAACTCTGTATATATGTGGGCTGGGGTGCCTTAGCGACAGTGATTCATTCTTTAATCACCATTGTCACAGCTTTGGGAGATAATCCATTATAGCTGACGCAACATGCAGTGCCTACATTGTTGAATCCCATAATGGCAGCATAACATAATACTAAGGTTACAGCACTAGTTGCCAACAGGGTTCTGGGCTCAATTCAAAGTGCTATGAATGCCAACAAACCCAGAAAAAGCCTAGCATTACATCAGGGAACACCTTGCCCAGGTTGGTCTATGCATCTGAGTAGAGATAACAGGGGCAGGGATCAGGTAGTAGAACAACCTGCCTCCAGGTAAAGCTGTTAAAACTATTGTATTTTTCAGAGTATAAGACGCACCTTTTTCCCCAAAAAAGAGGGTGAAAATCTGGGTGCATCTTATACTCCGAATGTAGTCCCGCCCAGCTTCTCAAACGGAGCTTTCAGATGCTGAAAAAAGCATCAGAACGAAGCTTCAGGAAAAAAGCCTCCAAACAGAGCTTCAGAAAAAAAAGCCTCAGAAACAGAGCTTCAGAGGCTTTTTTTCTGAAGCTCTGTTTTGAAGGCTTTAAAAAAAAAATAGTTTTTTCTGAAATAGAGTTTCAGACGTTTCAGAGGCAGAAAAAAAAGCAAAAAAAGCAAGGCCCAGAGCTCACAACCAAGGAACCTGTTGCTAAAAGTCACCTCTGGGAACAGCTGATTGGGGGTATTCTGGGAGCCCATCCACCTGCCAATCAGCTTTTTTCTTATTTTCCTCCCCAAAATCTAAGGTGCGTCTTATACTCCAAAAAATACGGTACATATTCCACTATGCTTTTAAGCAGGATGGAATGTTCCTCTCCACTATTAATGTTATGTTTTTTTTTCCCATTCTTTAATTTTATTCTGTTATATGCCACCCTGAATCCTAGGTCTGGGGTATTGAAGACAAATGAAAAAATAAATGAAAATAACTGATAAGACTCACTTTCTCGCCAGTTTACTGGAAGGCTTTAGGTTTTAGGTTTTATTTGATTTGTATACCGCCCTACTCCCGAAGGACTCAGGGCGGTGAACAGCCAACAATAAAATACATAAATACACAAAATTTAAAAACCCGATAAAATCAAATTAAACTTTTTGGCCCAGACAAATTAAAATACCCCAATAATTTAAAAAACAGATTAAAATTTACATATTTTAAAAAGGGAAGAGATCAGGCCAAGCCCGCTTGATGGAATAAAAAGGTCTTCACAGCACGGCGGAAGGAACGCAGATCCGGGATCCTCCGTATCTCCGGGGGGAGCTTATTCCAGATGGTAGGTGCCCCCACAGAGAAGGCTCTCCCCCTAGGGGTCGCCAGCCGACACTGTTTGGCTGACGGCACCCGGAGGAGTCCCTCTCTATGAGAGCGTACTGGCCGGTGGGAGGCTATTGGTGGTAGTAGGCGGTCCCGTAAATAACCAGGCCCTAAGCCATGGAGCTTAAAAGAAGAATCAGAAAGTTGCTATACGAACATATACAGGTAGTCCTTGACTTATGACCACAATTGAGCCCAACATTTTTGTTGCTAAGCAAGACCTTTTTTAAGTGAGTTTTGCCCCATTTTATGACCCTTCCTGCCACAGCTGTTAAGTGAATTGCTACAGTTATTAAGTTAGTAATACGGTTGTTAAGTGAATCTGACTTCCCCATTGATTTTGCTTGTCAGAAGGTCAGATAAACAGATTAATAGAGTTGGAAGGGACCTTGTAGGTCATCTAGTCCAACCCCCATCACAAAAGGTGATCACATGACCCCAAGACACTGCAACTGTCATAAATAGGAATCAGTTGCCAAGCATCTGAATTTTGATCACGTGACCATGGGGATGCTTCAATGGATGTAAGTGTGAAAAACAATTATAAATCACTTTTTCAGTGCCATTGCAACTTTGAACAGTCATTAAATGAACTGTTGTAAGTCAAGGACTACTGGCACACTGATTTTCAATGGAAAATGGTTCAGTTGCTGGATTATTTTTGTAACTATATTCCTTTCAACACACTAAATCTTGGTAAACAGGACCCTGAGAATCATGTATGGAAAATAATTAGTTTGGTTTGGCAGTTGCCAAGGATACTAACAAGCACTTTCGGTATCTCAGATACGCAGAGCATTTTGGTTAACTGCTATATCTTGTTACAATAGGCACACACACACACACTTCCTACCTGTAATCAACCAGGCCCTTAATCAGAGACCTAGGCTGGGTATTTCCAGAACCTGCCCATCATGCATGCTCCTTTCACAGTATATTAATATGGGTGAAGATGCCAATCCCAAATCACTATGATGAGGTATTAATTTTATACATGTACAAGTTTGATACCACAAATTAGGCCAAAGCAAAAGCAAGATTCCCACCCATCGTATATACCAGTAGAAACTAAGTGAAAGACGGAGTCACGTAGAAAGCAGCCCAGTCTGGGGCTAGTTCTAGATCAGAGAACCTCACGGATTCTTCACGGGGAAAGACCTCCAAGAGACCGATTGGAAAATCCAGCTGGGAAATATTGTGGAATTCTAGTGGTTTCCTGGAAGACTGTGCAGCAGTCCATTCGCACGGACCCTAGAGATGAAGCCCAGCTGGTTGCAAAACTTCTCAATGGAAGATCTGTCTAGGCAAAACATGTGACTGACCTGATTAATTATTGTCAAAGGTTCTTTAACTGCATCTAAAGCAAGTCTGTCCAACTTTGGCAACTTTTAAGATTGTGGACTTTAACTCAGGGGTGAAATGTAAAATTTGTTACTACCGGTTCTGTGGGCATGGCTTGGTGGTGGTGGTGGTAATGTGACTGGGTGGGCGTGGCCATTTTTTTTTTTTTTTACTTTTAAAACCATTTTTTCTACAACCTCTTCGGCTGAAGAGGTTGCAGGAAAAAATGCTTTGAAAAGCCTCTGACGATCCCAGCTGAGCCGCACGATCATCAGAGGCTTTTTTTTTTTACTTTTAAAAGCATTTTTTCAGTGGAAGAGGTTGTAGAAAAATTGCTTTTAAAAGTAAAAAAAAAAGCCTCTGATGATCGTGCGGCTCAGCTGGGCATGGTGGCG